ATGTTGAGAAACTATATAAACAATGATTAGATGACAAGAATGTTCACACTATGTAACCACTGATTAGATGACGAGAATGTTGAGAAACTATATAAACAATGATTAGATGACAAGAATGTTCACACTATGTAACCACTGATTAGATGACGAGAATGTTGAGAAACTATATAAACAATGATTAGATGACAAGAATGTTCATACTATGTAACCACTGATTAGATGACAAGAATGTTGAGAAACTATATAAATAATGATTAGATGACAAGAATGTTCAGACACTATGTAACCACTGATTAGATGACAAGAATGTTGAGAAACTACATAAACAATGATTAGATGACAAGAATGTTGAGAAACTATATAAACAATGATTAGATGACAAGAATGTTGAGAAACTACATAAACAATGATTAGATGACAAGACGATTTAGAAACTACATTATCCTTTAATGAACAACAGGAACTACTCAAACATATATTATACACTAAAATCTAATTCACACATCTTATTTTAAATTCTAAGTACATAATATACAAAATATTAAGTAACAGCTCAATCTTTAAGATGAAAACACACCATAATTATCGGCTGCTTCTAAAGCATGTTTGGCATCTTCGTAGTCCTGAGGTACTTGGTTAGCTCGCTTTTCATCCTCCGGTAGCTTCTCAGTGATGTCTTGGACACGGTCTAGAGCTCCTTTAGCCTTTGCTTCAGCAGCCAGGGAATTATTAGCTGCTTCCTGTGCAATAATTTCCAGAGATCCTATAAAAGATCCTTTACTCAGTATAACCATCTATTTAGCAAGAAATCAAACATAAACAATGATTTACATAAGATGTACAGTATAATAATGTGTTTAGTGATATTTTACATACAAACAGGATCATTGTTTATTTACATAAGATGTACAGTATAATAATGTGTTTAGTGATATTTTACATATAATAAGGATCATTGTTTATTTACATAAGATGTACAGTATAATAATGTGTTTAGTGATATTTTACATATAATAAGGATCATTGTTTATTTACATAAGATGTACAGTATAGTAATGTGTTTAGTGATATTCTACATATAATAAGGATCATTGTTTATTTACATAAGATGTACAGTATAGTAATGTGTTTAGTGATATTCTACATATAAACAGGATCATTTATTTACATAAGATTTACAGTATAATAATGTGTTTAGTGATATTCTACACATAAACAGGATCATTTATTTACATAAGATTTACAGTATAATAATGTGTTTAGTGATATTCTACATATAAACAGGATCATTGTTTATTTACATAAGATTTACAGTATAATGAGTCTGTACTCACAATTATTGTCTAGTGACAAAAGACAATACAATCTGTAGATCCAAACATGTTTTAAATAATGGATATACTCAAAAAGCTACAAAGTTATTTATTTATAATGATATCTATCAGAGTTAATATGCTTACGATAAGGAAGTTTATCTAGTTCTTTCTGTATGAAAGTTATTTATTTATTTATAATGATATCTATCAGAGTTAATATGCTTACGATAAGGAAGTTTATCTAGTTCTTTCTGTATGAAAGTTATTTATTTATTTATAATGATATCTATCAGAGTTAATGTGCTTACGATAAGGAAGTTTATCCAGTTCTTTCTGTATGAAAGTTATTTATTTATAATGATGTCTATTAGAGTTAATGTGCTTACGATAAGGAAGTTTATCCAGTTCTTTCTGTAT